TAAGTACCAATAAAAGACAAATGCAGTTGTCGCTTCCTTTTACATGCACGATGGCAGAGATAAATGAATTTGCAATTACAGTTTACACAGGGAAGTTCCAAATCTTATTCTAAACCTACTGGTACCCATGAAACACAAATGTAATGGTCTCTTCCTTTTACACGATGGCAGAGATGAATGATTTTAAAATTCCAATTTACACAGGGAGAGGCTACATCTTATTCCAAATCTATTACTTCAGTGCAAGTCAAATCCCTATTGACCTTTAACAATAGCCCTGAATTTAGATTAAGAGGGAACGAAAAACTGAAATGACTTATAGCTTCTTGGTAATGTATGACAGAATCATCAGTACAAATAGATTGTCTGCTATTACTCCTACCATAGTTCGACAAAAACTGACGTTTGACACTAAAACCATAAACTCCACAGGCAATAGATTCATTTCTTCTTTTTGCATTGACAAAAATGTGATATATCTTCAGGCTTTGAAGAGGTATTGATCTGCAAGAAACCCTTCACTTTTTAAGTTGATTTGGGAGGATTTTCGATTTGAAGTGTCACTCAAACTTTGAAAAGTCAATAGACAAGAGTGGTGTGTTGAAATAACCGCAGGAAATCTATAAACCATTGGTTCGATAGGCATGCACTTCAGTCTTTTAACATAAACTTTCACCGAGAACATTAGATGCAATATTGATTGAGCACTGGCTTGAGGCTAGTTTGTATTTAAGCTGCCACTAAAACTGCACATATGTCGAGATTGTCTAGTTCGTTTGAAGTATGGATATGCCTGTCACGCCAGATCGATATATATATATATATATATATGAGAGAGAGAGAGAGAGAGAGAGAGAGAGAGAGAGAGAGAGAGAGGGATGCACACGCATAGACACATGCACACTGACATACACAACAATCACAGACACATAGAGACACACACTGACACAGAGAGAGGGAGGGAGTGAGGCAGGCAGAGAGAGGGAGAGAGAGAATATATAGAGACAAGGAGAGAGAGAGAGAGAGAGAGAGAGAGAGGAGAGGGATGCACAGAGAGTTGCGCACACGCATACAGAGACACATGCACACTGACACACACACAGACAATGGCAGACACACACATAGAGATACCCAGAGAGAGAGAGAGAGAGAGAGAGAGAGAGAGAGAGAGAGAGAGAGAGAGAGAGAGAGAGAGAGAGAGAGAGAGAGAGAGAGAGTTGCGCACATGCATACTGAGACACTTACACACTGACGCATACAGAAGCAATAAGAGACACACAGAGGCACAGACACACAGATCACTCACAGACACACTCACAGGCACGCACAAAATCATTCACAGAGTGAAGGTGATGTACCCTAGTAGTAAGCATCTAACGACCGCATCAATTCTGTTCCCCTCCCTCACGAACCTACAATCCGTGAAGTTACTAATACACTTTAATACCCTCTAAATCACTCACTATTATAGACGTAAAAACATCAAAGATGGAGATATTCTGTACAAATCTGATAATACTTTACCATAATCAGTTCTCATAATTATGAAGCCAGAGATGAGAGTGATAAAATTTGTAATCACTTGAGCCACAGTCAATCCCATTTAGTTGACGTGAGAAGCACTCGTATCTTCGGAAGAGAAATATCCATGCAGTACTTGTAATTCCAAAGCTCATTGCAAAGCACAATTAATCACAGGCATACTTATTCCCACTAAGGCATCATCATGAGAACAGGTGGAATAATGATGAAGCTCCGACATAGGCTTTCGAGTATTGCCCTGATCAAACCTGAGAGTTATGGAAGAACGTTACCCTGGTGAAGTCACATAATGTCCAATATCAACGTATAGAGGGAGTAAATTCGCGATGAAATGAATAACTTTCCTTGATATATTATAACGTCAAGGTTAGGTGCATTTTGTCGTTCAAGAACATGAACTATATACAGAATGTTTATAGACTTTTAGTTGTTCCAGTCCCTAGAATATATATAAACTGTCCATTGACATATTTGTGGTTCCATGCCCATGACTATATACATAATGTCCATGAACGTTTTATGGTTGCAACTCCTGAACTATAAACAGAATGTTCATGGACATTTGTGGTTCCAGCCCCTGAACTATAAACAGATTGTCGATAGACGTTTGTGATTCAATTCCCTGACGGAATGTTCATTGACGTTTTGTGCTTCCATCCCATGAACTATATACAGGATGTCAATGGACATTTGTGGTTGCAACCCCTGAACTATGAACAATGTCCATGGACGTTTGTGATTCCATTCCCTGAAGTATGTACGACGGAATGTTCATTGACGTTTTGTGATTCCATCTCATGAACTATATACAGGATGTCCATGGACATTTATGGTTGCAACCCCTGAACTATAAACAGAATGTCCATGGACATTTGTGGTTGCAACCCCTGAACTATAAACAGAATGTCCATCGACATTTGTGGTTGCAACCCCTGAACTATAAACATAATGTGCATGGACATTTGTGGTTGCAACCCTGAACTATAAACAGAATGTCCATAGACGTTTGTGATTACATTCCCTGAAGTATGTACGACGGAATGTTCCTTGACGTTTGTGATTTCAGCCGCTGAAGTATGTACAGAATGTATGGACATTTTTGTGTGGTGTCAGCCCCTGAACTATACTCATGGAAGCGAATAAGGGAACACATGGAAGTACAAGCGTTCCTTTATTCTTTTCCAGGTTTCTTCACAAGTTATGTTTTGCACTGTGGGTGAAATTCTGGAAATAAATTCAGGAACACTTGTACTTTCATGTACAGTATGTCCCCCAACATTTGGTAGTTCCACCCATCAACTGTATACAGAGGTGCCACTGACGTTCAGTTAGAACAGGTCTGGAACCACGGCTCCATCCAACAGCTATGTATACAGTTGTGAAGCACTGCTAATAAAAACTGTAAATTGGCAAACCTGACATTTCACTCACCACTACGATAACATTAAGACTTCCCATCCTTCTCCAGCTAATTAACTAGACTATCCCTCGCTGGTTTGTCTGTACAAATCCCATTTCGGTCTGATCATGTTTCTACGTTTATCAGCACAATACCCGTACTGGTTAGTTTCTGATACTTGCACCAACTCGGAACTCACTCACTCACTCACTCACGTACGCAAACCTTGATGAAACGGGTAGGACTGGTCTTCAGCTGGTTGCAAGTGGCTACCAACGGGATCAAGAGGTCTGGCTTCCTGACTTGGTCGATGCATGGCATCTTTTAGAATTAGATCGATTCTCATAATGTCAGTCGCTGGATTGTCTGGTCCAGACTCTATTATTTATAGACTGCTTTCATATAGCTGGAATATTGCTGGGCGCGGTGTTACACACTGGCTCACTCGGGTGTATCTGCCATGTTTATATCTTGTCACTGAGGTACTAGCAGCTTTGATCCTTTCACAGACAAACATAACTTCTCTTCCCTAAAATGATGCTGTTGTGGGATATATTGAGATTGGGAGAGCGGAAGGTCGCGGGTTCGATCCCCGACCGCGTCATCCCGAAAGACGTTAAAACATGGTACTTGTTGGTCCCTGCCTGGCGTTCGGCATTAATGGGTACACCAAGGACTGGTCGGCTTGGAGTCAGTATAATGTGAGTGGGGTATTCATGCTTCACTGCGGCATGGTATCTCAGTGGGCTAGCACTATAAAACCAGCTTAAGTCTGGGCTAGTACAAGCAGCCGCACATACACATACACATGCACGTGGTCATATAAGTACGACGTTAAACCCAATTTCACCTCACCTATATTGTCTTGTCCTTCACGTTCCCCAGAAAGTCTCCTTATTTAGCAATGGTTCAGCCTTGTCCCGATCTCATACCCACGTGTCTACATAGGTATCTCTTATAATGGTGTTTGTGACCTTAACTATCGGTGGGGACAGAGTACAGTAATCTCTTCGCGAGCACCAGGCATCATCACGTTTTAAAAGACTGACTGACTGAATTTGGTTTTACACCGCTTTTAGCAATAATATTCCAGCAACATCACGGCGGGGGACACCAGAAATGGGCTTCACAAATTGTACCCATGTGGGGATTCGAACCCGGGTCTTCGTCGTGACGAGCCAACGCTTTAACCACTGGGCTACCCCACCGCCCCACTTTTTTAAAGAGATTCATGTAAGCCCGCAATGATGTTACTAAAAGCGGCATAAAGAGAGAATTAATCACGTGGCAGCTGGCAATGTATACTGATATATTCAGTGCTTACTGCGAATTCTGAAACATGGATAAGTGTATTGATTAACAAATATATAAAAATGTACCTCATGCCTCAGTATCAATAATCGATACGCCTAAATGTCTAAATATCTCTGCTGTGAAACTTCGAAATTGCGAATTCCTTAAATGTTCTGATTTCCTAAATTTACTGAAGTTTAAAAGACATAATGGACACGAAGCACTGGGCATAGCGAACTGGCACTAGTATAGTAGACAGAAATCTTCGGGGCATTTGAGACTTCCGTTTCCAGCAATTTGCTATTCACATACACAATACCGTTAATGACCAGCGACTGAAGATTCCACTCCTCGTCAATAAAACATTTCACAATTTTCAATTTCCCGTTATAGTGTATACACGGATTCATTGCCTAACAGACCGATAACTGTGAGAGCAACATAGAGGAAAACAGGGCTCTGTATATCACACTCAATATATCACAATTTTAACCACTGAATATTCATGTCTTTGAAACACACCAACTGCTCCTGGTTCATTACTGGTGGTACACCAAGCACACCTTTTGGCTGTTTCTGCATATGGGAGGCTAATACTGGTAGTCTATATATGGATATTAATGAAAGGGAACAACCCAACTCGTCAGTCTCAACATCTACATCTACAGCAGCAGACGTCATTTTAATCGATCCGGGAAAAGATCGATCCGCCCGCATGTGCTCGTGGCGGCCAGCTAGAACGCCCCAAGCAGCGTCGTACGCAGAGGCAGTTTAAGTTGTGATTGATGAGTGGACGGATAGCGATGGTACTACGTTAACAGGAGTAAACATGAACCGGGACCCAACGGGTTAATCTCAGTCTTTGATGTGCACCATCGTCTTTCCTACTTGCACAGGCACACCTGTACCACTGATGAAGATCAACTGTCCCCCGAGACGATTCCAAGAATTACTCTGAATTGGATATGGTGTTCTTTGTGTTCTGTGAGGCGTGTGGTTCTCTGACAATAGACACCCACTGCAGTGACAACGCTGGTTAGCCACTTGTGGAAAGTACAGTGTCGGATTACAGGTCCAGAGATTGATGTGATAATTTGGTGTTCTTGAGGACGATTGGCAGCGATTCCCATTGGTCTAAGCTTAACATAGGCGGTGCTTAGGTTTCGAAAAGGAAAGTATTGATGTAGTAAAATAGAATGTGTATGGGGTAATTCGTATTTTTTATATTTCCAAGTACAACTAATTCTATGATACTTACAAATCCTCCATTGAAAACCCTTTAACCGTTAAACAGATCAAATTGATAGTGCATGTATTTAAATAGGCCACGTCAATTTCTACTTCCCATATTTGAATGTGTTGTATCATCGATGCAAAAAGGCTTCGTAACAAATGATTTATTACTGTATGTTTATTGAAACAGAATGTAAAGCAAACTATCGTTAAACGTGCTATGAATTTTGTGATGAACAGTCAATACACACTGTAGATAACTGAAACAGAAATTCATGATTTCCAATAACGATCAAGATCAAAAAGCTCTTACTCTGTGTACACTCCGTGAGCAAACGCTGCTTCTTCAGAAAACAACATGGCAGGAGTATTGAATTTTCAATTAATGATACTTAACCGTTAATCTTAATAATCTTTTTATTCTGCCTGAACAATCAAGAAAACCACCAACGCTAGAAAAGTGTTTGCATTCACACTAGCGTTTGGTCGATTCAAAAAGTAAATATTTGACAACGTTATACCAATCTTATAGCTCCAGACCAAAAATAGCTACTCAAACAAATATAACTTTTCCCATCACCCGTACATTTTTAATATTCCTGTGAATGAAAGTTATGAATAATGTAACATAGAATCTTCCAATCAATTAATGCTGTTTTCCTGTGTGTGGACGTCTTGCCGTGTCCAGGTCTCTCACTCTACCCTGAACAGTGGTAATGGTTGGGGTATTGTAGTAGGACTGGCTCTATCGACGTGTTACCTGCAGCCAGGTATGCCTGTGGAATAAGCTACGCCTGATAGCGTCTCTCCGGCACAGAGGTCCAAGATAAGAACTGTAAACTCCTAACTTAGAAGAGCATCCTCCCTGGGCGTCTCCCCTCGCCAAAATACCACTTTACGTCAAAGAAGTTAATTTTATCAAAGAAGGGTCGTATTACTGGACGAGGGAAAAGCAATTGGCGTGGACCGAACCTCTCAGACTTTCCGTTGGGAAGAATTTATCAGGGGCTGGTAGCCGTAGAAGTAACGCTCGCGCCTAGCTTAAGTGTGTTGGGATTTTCGATCTGTACATAGTGCAAACATCTTAATAACGTGAAGACTTTGACTGGTTTGTTTCCAGCCCTGCGGCGGTCTGTTCTGTACGATATACTCATACACTTCAAGTGTTTAGAGCCGTGCTTGCTGTTGTTTTCGCTTCTTGCCTACAACTGAATAATACTGTTTCTTGGCGGAAGCGATAGACTGAAGAAAGCGAAGCTCCGAATAACGTTGTTTTTTTAATGAAAAACTCCCATTGGTTGTAAACCACATTGGGGAATATACGTGTTTGATACAAGTGTGAAAAGAGCTTAAAAATCGGAACGTTCACCAAAAGCTCCGTGTGCACTGCTTGGGGATAAAAAGGATTTGAGTATTTGGGATTTGTTACGGGGGCCGTCAATCGAGAACACCTGGTGCACGTGGCCACGTGGAGCGAGTCTGGCTCAGAGAGGAACAGTTCTGGGAGTGCTGTGGTTCATTGACCAGAGGTTTTTTTTACAGGTGTGATTGTTCTGGGAAGGACGCGTATACAGTTCCGTGATCGACCGATGGTATGTGTTAAGAGTATGTGCTGCTATCAACGATCACAGTCAGTGGATGCTTAAGGTGGATACTGTTTAGTGTTGGCGTTAATGATGGGTGGCTCTTAGCGTTCCAAAATTTGTGTACCCAGTGACGTCACCATCCCTCTGGCCCACTCGGTAGATGAGCATCGCGAGCAGCTCCCGCTCACACCTCGGAGCGCTCGTGACGCTATGACAACAACAGAAGATGACGGAATTGAGATATTGTCTTGTCATATCGAAAACGAGGATGACGTCATCGAGCAGACGACAACTGTCAATGTGTCAGTCACGAACACTAAACTGGAGGACGATCCGGCTACGATTCAAAGGAAGCGTGTTGCACGTGCCGTGGCCATTGTCTCGTTTGTCCTGCTGCTCTTCAGCGTTGTTTTGATTGGAGTATCTCTCAACATGTCGAAGAATATCGACGATCTAGGTGAGTATATTCCATTATCTAAGCACGTGCGTGAACTCATTAATAAACCATGTCCCCAACTCTGACCATCACACGACAGATGTGTATTTATTATTTGATTATATGTACAATACAAACCTTTCATGGCCGTCAATCGAAAATATTGCTTACAATTTGCTCTCTCTGGCGGCCAAGGTGATTTTCCCTTTGAACAAATTAATTTCACAACTGAAAACTGTACTTGGTTGAAACGGAGCCAGTAATTTGAGTAATTGTTACGAGCAAATAAGCATCGTACTTCACTTTGCCGTGATGAAGACTAAAATAATACCCAGCTGTGGCGTAGAATGAGGATACATTGCATTACTGCCAACACGTATTCTTCGACCACGTTCAACCACAGCTGGGGTGTTCAATCGCAACCAGCACGAAGCTATAAAGCTTTATCTTTGTGTATAACTCCACGATATCGTTTCCAAACGTGATAACGATATATTCTTAAATACACATATATCACCAAAGGTACACTGCCATATTCCATCGTTTTATTGGTTTGTAACTTTGGCATGTACGACCTGGTATTAAGGCGGTGTTCGCGCTCGCTGATATATTATGGCATTTCCATGGGATTCGGAATGTAAAAAAGTCAAGTAGAAGTGAATTATCTTTCTACACCTGACACTCGGCTGCTCTCTATATTTCACGTAACTACATTCCGACGTTACGCCTCTTGCAGTGCTGCATAGCTTATGACGTTAGCATTACGCTATATTATTTTCATCACCAAGGAAACATATTTGCCCTTATTGAGAAATGGATATACCATCATTAAAGGAAGACAATTTATAAACTGAAAGGCCATGAACTCGGAATCAATATCAGTGATGTGTATTTTTTTGACATAGAGGCCTAATGTTGCTTGTTACTCTGTTCCATTTCTAAAACTCGATTCATCTTCATTACTTCTCCCTATTGACAAGATTATAATTCAGTAAGGTCTAATTCAGTAAATTATGGTTGATAATAATACCCTACTGCCTAGCCCTCCCTGCAATGCTGAAACCCTAAATGAAGCAAGTTTAGATTCTTCAGGTTCTGAAGTTACTCATCTCACTAGGGCTCCTTTTCAATTTGTATGGGATTATTTGTTATTATCAAAATTATATGTATTCAGAGACTAGGCGTTAGTCTGATAATTATCCGTACACGGGCACAGTGTCAGGCACTGGCATTATCTTACATAAAAATTATATAAACTTCCATTCAGCCTTTCTGGGTGTGTCATGAATCAGCGTAGCGCGTAAAGGTTTCATGCTAAAGATCTCATCCTGACTTTCTTTATCAAATTTAACCTTTAAAACCTAATTTCGGATCAAACGGATTTTTTCTACTTTGTCCAAAAAGGCCCATTTATGACAAAACAACCCTATTTTGATAAGATGCACACAGTTAGACTAAACCTTTATGATTAGCGAGATGTTGCGGCACTGTGTTCGTTAGTATGAGCTTATCGCAATCACCACAGCCGTGAATTGCACTGGGCCTCAGTCTACCGTTATCTATAGTGAAGACTACCGTGTTGTAATGTGAAGAGATACAGAAACCCGTTTTTTATACTTCACTTGAAAATGATTCTCCTGAGATATGTAAAGCATATTTCCTTATCAGACAAGTGCGATACGCTCGTACGACTGTATGTTGAGCCATCGACGCCTGGACGAAGTTAATGTATTATTAAGTGGATTTTGAAGAACTGGGGCAAATTGTGTTATTTTAGAAGCCATTTTGGTAATTTATTTATATCAGGCGCTAAGGATGTGTGAGAGAGGAGTTCTACAAATGGATTATATTTTCAGTAAATTTCAGATAATGATTAATGTAGATTCCAGTCATCCGTACCTGCCAACTGTATATAGTTTTAACTTGAGCTCAGGAAGCGCTTTGAGCATATCCCTGTGACGTGGAAAGGCGCTATATAAATGGCCTATTATTATTATTCTATTATTATTATTAATGTACCATCCAGGCTAACACATCGTTAAACGACGGTGTTGGTGGGACAGGACACGTGTGCCCCTTTGTGAACACCTGGTGTCGGGATAGGTTTTCAGTGATTAATTCCTGTGATTATGGACTATTCAAAACCCACTACTCTCTTGCGACGTTTTTACATTTACAGTATTAAAACACCCAAAGATTTAAATAGACGTTATACTAATATTCTTAAATAACAAACACGCATATCGTTGCATCATTTACAATAATCTGAGGTTGGGTGTTTATGGTGACAAGTAACTGCCAATGGTGTTGATCACCAGATTGTCTGATTCAGACTTGATTATTTACAGAACGACGCCATATAGCTGGAATATTACTGAGTGCGGCATTAAACAAAAAACGAAACATAAACAACAACAACAAAAAACAACAACACACACTCCAGAAAACCCCCAAAACAAAAACAAAACAAAACAAAAACAACAAACATTAAAACAAATCTATTGATTCAAATTAAATATATAAACTTGAAAACAAAACGTATCAAGAATTTTTGAGTACTAAATACTGATATGATACAATAGCGCTTGTCTGGTGGTAACCACGTCCTGGGGAGGTTACATCACGTTATTGCTTCATCAAGGAACCTCCTTATAGGATAGAAAATAGAACGTTAGCGACTCCATTGTAGCTCGTACGCCTTTAGCTTGATATATAGTGCACACTGATCCATTGGGCCGGTAATAATGATTACGTTATGAACATTCTCACGGTGAATGGTTGTTATAGATGGACCCCTACGACGGGACCGGTGTTCCTGACATGGATCACTTGATTGTCTGGTCCAGATTAAGATTCGGTACAGACTGCCGTGTTATGACTTGGCTGATGCTAATAGCGGAGTTAGCAAAACAAACTGTGGCATTATATGATTTCTTTTGTCTGATTTCAGCTCTATTGTCTGATATCAGCTCTGTGGTTTAATATCAGCTCTATTGTCTGATATCAGCTCTGTAGTTTAATATCAGCACTATTGTCCAATATCAGGTATGTGGTCTAATATCAGCTCTATTGTCCTATATCAGGTCTGTGGTCTAATATCAGCTCTATTGTCCAATATCAGGTCTGTGGTCTAATATCAGCTCTATTGTCCAATATCAGGTCTGTGGTCTAATATCAGCTCTACTGTCCAACATCAGGTCTGTGGTCTAATATCAGCTCTATTGTCCAATATCAGGTCTGTGGTCTAATATCAGCTCTATTGTCTGATATAAAGTCTCTTGTCTAACATCAGCTCTGTCGTCCAACATCAGCTCTGTGGTGTGTGACATGTGTTCGAAGATCTAATATCAGTTTTGCCAATCGACTCGGCCGTCGGTTCTTGTCACCTCTCTGTAACTGCCCGGAAGCCTTTTAGGGCCATATGCTTTTCGATTTGTCACTTGGAATTTCAAGACACTTTGAAATTTAAAGACATTAAGTTGAAATTTCAAGATATGTAAGTTAAACTTTTACGTTAATCTTTTGAAATAGCAAAACATATACACCATACTATGGAAGCCTTTCAGGGACATTTAGTTTTGTTTTTATCTTGAAATTTCAACATAGTATCTTGAAACTTAAAAGTAGTATCTTGACATTTTAAGAAAAGAAAGAAGAACAAATGGCCCTGAAAGGCTTCCGTAGGGCTTCCGTAACGGACGGTTCCAGAGAGGAAATGATTTCGACTGAATTTACCGAAGATGTACGAGCGCAGCCGTCAACACCTGGCAGAGGCACTAAATACATCACACTTGCTTCCACGTTAACAACGGGGTGTTCGTTCCACTGACACGCATCTCACCAGGCCATCAGATTAGGCTGAGAAATGTGTGACTTTCATAGACGTCAGTATCAGCATTGCAGTAAATACAGATCTGGCATCAGTTAGACAGGCGGTAGTTAACTGTACGAGGAATCGGAATATATACATCCCCGAATCACTAGGCTCCCTGTGATTGCTCAAACAGGTTATTTATAACGTACAAGAACCTGACAGGGTAATAATACAATTGTACATTGCTGACAACTTAAAGAACGCCCGATCTTTTTAAATGTGTATAGTTTGTTTGTCAAGACAAGGCATCTTAACTATGGGCGTAAGAAATAATGGGCTGTTAAATATATTGGTAATCGGTGGTCATTTCATGATTGAGTATAGTCATACGAAAGAAAATCGGTGTTTCTTTAACTGAAGTCTGTCTCACAGTTCCTGAACCGCATTATTTTCCCTACTTCCTAGCCTTCCCTGCAATGGCTTAAATGAAGCAAGAGTAGATTTGTTTCAGGTTCTGAATCTCCAAACTCACTGGCTCTTTCTAAATTCAAATAGAATTATTTGTTACTATTAAAAGTATATATGTTCGGAGAGTAAGCGTTAGTCTACTTTAATTTCTTTTGAGTATCAAATATTTAAGCATTAAAAACATGTTGTCTACATATTGTAATCACTGTGATGTCATGGTATCTAAAACTTCATGAACTCGACATATGGTTAATGTAATATTCTGATACTGGCAACATACTCAATGGAACAGTGGTCTATCGGCACTTCGCTTCTCTTAAATTCTCTTTTAAGACGGGGCGGTGGGGTAGCCTAGTGGTTAAAGTGTTGGCTCGTCACGCCGAAGACCCGGGTTCGAATCCCCACATGGGTACAATATGTGAAGCCCATTTCTGGTGTCCCCCGCCGTGATGTTGCTGGAATATTGCTAAAAGCGGCGTAAAACCAAACTCAGTCAGTCAGTCAGTCTTTTAAGACGTTAACTACATATGACACAGGGATAGAATACGTGTTTAGGTATGCTTTCCTTATCTGCTGTAAGTGGTGACACGAGTGGCCCTGTAGACTAAGGCATAGTAGTTCCTGGGTTTGATTCCCATATTCGCACCTGATAGTGATTGTCGGCTTGAAGCTCAAAGCTTCACCAAAGTGGTAGTTCACTTTTAACACTCTGGGATTTTTTCCCATATCAAGCTGAAAG